CCCACGCTGTGATACGCATCTTGCCACGCGCGCTAACAAATCTCACCCGATGGACCTACTGCTTATAAATAGAAGATCGCGAATTTGAGCAGATGATCTTTCACGCACACAGAACACATAAAACCCTTCTTTTTATTCCTTACGCCATCTTTTGATTTTTTTCTCCCACAATTTATATCGTAGAACTCGGGTTTCGTTGTTGCTTTCGGATTAATCTTGTTTATCGGATTTGACTCTCAATTTTGTTTAATTGTAAGACTTTTTATTCCTTTAATCCATGAATATGTTTGTCTTGATTGATGAGATTGTTTGCGTTGAATCGATCATGAGCGGCTAAATCCCCATGCTAAGGAATAGGGGATTGATGTTTTGATTCCATTGTGATTGTGGTGTTCGTTGATTGTTCTTCTTATGCGAGTTGTTCTTGATTAGGGTTCTTCTATTATTTAGCTTGAGTTTTGAAAATTGTTGAAGGGTGACACTTCAACTTGCAATTGTTTTGATTGAATTCAATAAATTCATGCTTGATGATTTTAATTTTTAACAGGCTAGTTGATTAACCACCCTCTAGTCTGCTTTAATCGACTCTTAGAATCGAAAGGGGAGGTGTCGGTCGAAATAGGCTCGCATAAGCTAGGCTTGTTCGTAACTGTATTGCCTAGGAGTTAAATGATTTGTTAATTTGTCGTTCTAGTTTGTTCTCTTGTTACAAGTAGGTATTGAGAATGAGTTCTTGAACGTGCCGGTTATTCAAATCACTCAGTTGAACAATCACTTGCCCATAATTGCAATTTTCGAACCAAAACGGATATCCCATACTCCCTAGCTTCTCAAATCCTATTTGTTCTTCGTTGCTTGTTATTTTTATTGCCTTATTTGAATTTTTGGCAGTAGTTGATAATTAAAAAACCATCCAATGATCTGAATTAGTATGTTTTAGAATTCTTTATCTTTTCATTTGTGTTGAATAAACGTGCTTAATATTCCGGCTGACCTTCCTCGAGAGAAACGACTCGGTGTCCGAATCATTCGATTCTACTCCGGAAAATATTTACAATAAATTGGCGTCATTGCCGGGAAAGGTTTATGACATATTTTGTGCGCTTATTCACTTTACTTTTATGTGTTTCTCTTTGTTTCTTTTTCTTTGTTTAGGTGTAGTTTTTTGTTGTTTTTATTTTATTTTATTTTCTCTTCTTTATCGTTGGTGCTCGTAACCGTTTGTTGTTTGAGTGTATGCGTACCAGGAGTGGGCGTATATTATCTCCAATCAACAAGTCCGTCAATGAGAGCCTGAGAGAGCTGCTGGACGAGCTTACTCTCGAATCACACGGAAAAGGCGAGCACTCTCCGAAATCATCCGAGGGAAGCAACTCGGACATGGCTGAACAACAACAACCGCCTCGCAACATTCTCCGAAACCTGGCCCAATCCATGATCGGGCCAACTACCTCATGCATCCGGTTGAAGCAAAACGCCTGAAACTATAAGCTGAAAATGGTCCACTACAATCAGCTCCCATTATTCCACGGGCTGCCCAATGAAGACCCACTCAACTTTCTCTGAGAGTTTTATAACATCCTCCAGACGTTCCCTCTACATGGGCTGAGCGAGGACCAACTCATAATGCGATATCTTTTGAAGACTCTGAAGGACCGGGCCAAGGCTTGGTTCATGACCCTCGCCCCAAATTCTCTCACAACTTGGGCCAAGTCTATGCTAAATTCGTTGGGAAGTATTATTCCCATCAGAAAACCCAAGATATTGTTGGGTTCTATTAGGAACGTCGACAATGTGCACATTCAAATCTATTGAATAATAAATCCTAATGCAGCGGAATCTATAGTTAGGATTAGGACTTACGGTTTAAAATTTTTGCCGACTCTGAGACGTTTCTGATTTCCGTTGATGGAGATCGTCAGAACACCAAAGTCCAATGGGCAGCTGGACTTGGCCTTTCTCGATTCTAATCGAGTCATCGTCTCGGACCTTCGGTAAGTAAGTCGGACTCCTCGGGAACCATCTTGGACTCGAACTGGGATGCTGGACCGAGATGGACAGGTTTGAAGTGCTGCTGGACCGCCTGGACCGGTCTGGAACACGCTGGACCGAGTTGACAGCTTACTAGGCCCGCTGGACTGTTTCTGGGATGAGTTAAGATGCGCTGGGCCGCTTTCCAAGCTGTTGGGCTTAATGCATTACGAACTGGGCCGCACAAGGTGAGCAACGGGGTCGTGGGCAACGCTGCAATTGGGCCAGGACATGCTCATTTGGGCCAAGAGGGCGCTGGCTGTTGCGGGCTTCTCGCGGGCTCCAAGCTGTGAGGCGCGCGAGCTTTACGCGGGCTGAAATCGGGTCGCGCGGCCCACGCTATTTCCTTCTGCTGTTGACAAAATAAAAATGCTCGCGGGAAGATGGGATCGAGCACGCGACCTCGCATGGAGAAGAAAGCGCCGCACACCATCGCGCTACACACCGTGAAAGCGCCACGAGCTTAACTGTGGAGGACATTTTGGAGGACGAAAAACTGCCTTTAAAGTTCTCCAATCAGGTTTATTCTGGCCAACTCTTTTTATCGATGCTCA